TCTTACACCATACACAAAAATAAATTCAAAATGGATTAAAGACCTAAATGTGAGACCTGAAATCATAAAAATCTTAGAAGAGAGCACAGGCAGTAACATCTCTGACATCATCTGTAGCAACATTTTTCTAGATATGTCTCCTTCCTTAGGCAAGGGAAATAAAAGCAAAAAGAAACTATTGGGACTACATCAAAATAAAAAGCTTCTTTTTTAAAGATTTCATTTATTTATTTGAGAGAAAAAGCGAGCAAGAGAGAGAAAGCATGGCGGGGGGGCGGTTTTGGGGAGGAGAGGTAGAAACAGACTCCCTGCTGAGCAGGGAGCCCGATGTAGGGCTCCAACCCAGGACTCCGGAATCAGGACCTGAGCCAAAGGCAAGCGCTTAAATGACTGAGCCATACAGACACCCGAAATAAAAAGCTTCTGTACAACTAGGGAAATAATCAACAAAACTAAAAGACAACCTATGGAATGGGAGATATTTACAAATGACATATTCCATAAAGGGTTAGTATCCGAAATCTATATGGAACTTATAAAACTCAACACCCCAAAAAAACAAATAATCCAGTTAAAAAATGGACAGAAGAAATTAATAGACATTTCTCCAGAGAAGACATAGAGATGACCAACAGACAAATGAAAAGATGCTCACCATCATTCATCATCAGGGAAATGCAAATTAAAACTACAATGAGCTATCACCTCACACCTAGCAGAATCGCTAAGATCAAAAACACAAGAAACAACAAGTGTTGGTGAGGTTGTGGAGAAAAAAGAATTCTCTTGCACTGTTGGTGGGATTGCAAACTGGTGTAGCCACTGTGGAATGTATGGAGTTTCCTCAAAAGGTAAAAATAGAACTACCCTACAATCCAGTAATCACATTACTGGATATTTACCCAAAAAATACAAAAACACCAATTTAAAGGGATACATGTACCTCTATGTTTATAACAGCATTATTTACAATAGTCAAATTATGGAAGCAGCCCAAGTGTCCATCGATGGATGAATGGGTAAAGAAAATGTGGTATATCTGCAATGGAATATTATTCAGCCATAAAAAAGAATGAAATCTTGCCATTTGCAATGACATGGATGGAGCTAGGAAATAAGAAATAAGTTAAGTGAAATAAGTCAGAGAAAGACAAATACCATATGACTTCACTCCTATGTGGAATTTAATAAATGAAACAAATGAACAAAGGGGGAAAAAAAGAGCGAGACAAACCAGAAAACAGACTCTTAACTATAGAGAACAAACTGATGGTTACCAGAGGGGAGATGGCGGGTGGTTGGGTGAAACAGGTGATGGGGATGTAGGAGTACACTTACGATGAGCACTGGGTATTGTATGGAAGTGTTGAATCACTATATTGTGCACCTGAAGCTAGTACGACACTATGTTAACTACACTGGGATTAAAAATTAAAAAATAAAACTATTTGAAATTCTAGAGCCTAATCTACATCTGGTTGCCAAGATAATCAATATCACACTTAATGCATGTTATGTCTAGACGTACATACATACATGTTTTAGAGTATTATAAATTGTTTAATATTTTTTATTAATATACCATAATTACCATATACCAATATAGCATAATTACCATAACATGGTAATGTTAATGTGTGACTACCACAAAAACCATCTATTGGAATATGAAGAGAAGCAAGAAAATGGACACTTGGCATTCTTGGGCAACAATGCTCCCACTCCGAAAGCCTGTTGCATTCATGCTATCTGAGACACTACTCATTTGTCCTTTCCCTTTACCTCCACGCGTGCACTGCTCAGACCCTCCCTGTGTGCTCATGAGGACAATGCTTCACACGCTCATCTTCCAGCCCTCATGCTGTCTTTTGTCTTCAGGACACAAGACAAGAGGAGGAAGAGCATTCCCTTGGGGCCTGAACTGTGTTAGTGGTGACAGTGGATGTTTAGGGCTGACTAGCACCAAAAGTCAGATCTCGAATGACCGAGGTGCCTCGGTATTTTTATTAAATTGGCTCTTTTTGTATTTGTAACTTCAGGGCACTCGATAGCGACATCCCTCTGACTCAGGTATTGCTTATGTGTTCTCCTTCCAGCCCCCCTGAGCAGACCAGGGGCCTTTTCTCTTTTTCTGTTTTCCTCTTCGTCTTCGACTGGGAACAGCAAGGGGAAGATTTACTCACGCATGCACTGTTTTTCAGGCACCGAAGAGGATAAGCCACCTTTGAAATGCAGTAAATCTTGTGGGCCTGGGTCTATGTGTTGTCAATTATAGAGATTTTTTTCTTATGAGGATCAAATTATTAATTCCTTGAGGTGTGACCAGACCTTATAGTTTTCTTTGTCATACCCCCAGGGAGTCTGGCCAGTGCTAGGCACGTAAGAGGCCATCGGTAATAGACATAAGGAATATTGCAGTAATTCATTTTAAAAATATTTGACAAATGTGCACTTGATGCTATAGCAAGGATATTGGGACTGTGCACTTCTATCATGGAAAGTAAGAAATGTGGTCTTTTCATATTTCAGGTGTCGGCTTGAATGTAAGGAGTCTAAAATGAAAAAAGAAAAAAAGACTTAAAAAGCCCCAGTATGGTATGATGCACGTATCCTGAAATACCCTTACTGTCACATTGCAGACACAAGTCCAAAGTCACTTGTTTAATTCTTGCTCTGATGTGGGACCAGGGATTTCTGATTATTTTTCTCACAATCTTGCCACCTCTAAAAAGAGTCTTTCACATGAATTCTAGCTCTCGGCCACCTTTCCTGAAACTCATGGCTTTTTCATGATTACTAAAAATGTCTATTTTTTTCATAGAAAAATAAAAAAAACAATTTCAATAATTGAAAATATTGTGGAAATTCATTTTAGGTCTCTGAATTATCTAGATTCCAAATATAACTGATTACTGAAATATCCAGTTCCCAAGGTAATGTCTGGTCATATCTTTAAATCTATAAAGTCACATGAGTTTGGAATGATGCTAAAGTATATTACAGCAAATTAAAGATTTTGTTTCATTGGTGATATTAATTTTTCCATTGGGTTTATTTTCTTAAGCATTTTTCATGAAAAAAATGCGTGTTAGAAAAACCTCAATAATTTATTTTTTTTAAAGATTTTATTTATTTATTTGACAGAGAGAGAGACAGCAAGAGAGGGAACACAAGCAGGGGGAGTGGGAGAGGGACAAGCAGGCTCTCCGCCGAGCAGGGAGCCCGATGCGGGGCTCGGTCCCAGGACCCTGGGATCATGACCTGAGCCAAAGGTGGACGCTTAACGACTGAGCCACCCAGGTGCCCCAAAACCTCAATAATTTAAAGTGAAAATCTAGACCTGTACCAGTTTCATATCGAAAAGGGTCTGCGGAGGTGTATTCTTTTGCAGTTCCGATTCTCATATTTCTCTAGAAAGGCAGTTATCTCTGGACAATATATTGTCTTTCCTATGTTAGCAGGCCCCTAAAACTCCTTACGGGCATTACAGTATGTAGAAATGCAAAAACTGAAAGTTCACGCTGTTTTAGTTCTATAACAGATTTTTCTTTTTTCATAGCAGAAAAGTTTGTGTCCTTTCAACTAGCAAGCAGATGTTGCCCTAGTGCTGCCTCCATATTCATTAGCCCATAATGAATCTATTAATTGAATATGTAAGTTTGGCTAATTAGATGTAAGACATTTCTTCAGATTTAAAGGGTAATAATAAAAAATTTAAACTGCAACACCAGATCGAGCATTTAAGAGTTGATAAATGTGAACTGGAAAGTGCACAATTCCAATATAAATTAGTTAATTGCCTCTGCTAATTTAGGTGAACTACATTAGCAGAAAGGTCAATCCATTTGAGGCTTGATGTGTTTTTCAAATAGTAAATTAAAAATAGCAAATCAAAGAACTCTACAGAGTAGGAAGCATGGAATCTACTTTTCTAACCCAGAGGTTGCAGAGTGGACTCAGGTAAGTCCACGGAGTTAACCTTCTGTGGATTAATCAGTGATTTTTAAAATAGGTTGTGTCTTACAGACACCAGGAAGCTTTGTTAAAAATAGCAGTGCCTTCGGCCCTACCTGAGACTAACCGAAGTCTTCGGAGGTGGAACCAGGCCTCCATATTTTTTAAGGCTCCCGACATGATTATATTGGAAGCTGAGTTGAAAACCATTGGGCCATTCCATGAATGTCTGATCTCCCCATCTAAGCAGGAGTAAGGTGGCAGTATCAATCCATAGTAGGTATGTAAGCATTAGAAACATGACCTAATGTAGTACTTAATGCTTTCTTTTCTTCCTAAGCAAGGAAAAAATTCAGCTGCCCTTGGTCCCTCTACCTTCTCTTCTAGCTAGGTCTGTACCAAAAGGTCTTACTCTTGAGAACATTTAACTTGGATTTGGGAAGTGGGAGGAATCTCAGCTCGGAGTATTTGCTTCTGGGAATTGTGATTTTACAAACAGCTCACCTCTCCAATCACATTAGCTGGCTTTACACTAAAAGATGTCAACGGAGTTCTTTCTTGGGCCACGTTTTGGGAGATGCTGTCTTTACCACTTGTGTGTCGTATGCTCCCCATAGCTCCTAGAAGAGCGTGAGGCCCATGGAGAGGCTGGCAAAGGGATTTGCCAACAGGCTGTGCCCTGCCTGCCACGGCCTTTCGCTTTCATTGTGCACCGCATCTTCTGACTTCTTTCCTGTCTCATTCAGCCCTTGAATAGCTTCACGTCCGCAGCCCCTGTCATCCCACACGCTTCTTTTTTGTTCTTCGGAGATTCCATGGCAATGCTTGGCTCCTAATGTACTGTCAGGGAATGGTTGTTCAGTCAGAGCTCTGTGACCGGTAGAGGGAGGACAGAGTCTACGTTTAGCATTGGTAGTCAGGGAGTCACAGACGCCCTGAAAGGGGGAAGCAGGAGACCTGTCCTCTGCAGTTTGGGGCGGGATGTCCACATTGGATGTCAGCGTCCCAGCTCTGAATGCCTCCCAGTTTTGCCCTGTGTCTTTCAGAGCTTGAACTGTGTGGTTGAGAAGAAAGAAGCGGCATTCCCCCTCTGTTGTCAAGACGTCTAAAGTGAGAAGATTTTCAGAGGCTCGTTCCAGCATGTAAAAGAGAGAGACGACTGTCCAATGAGCCTCGTCTTCTTGTGAACATGGATATGGATCCTTGCCTCAAATAGCACCAAAGTTCATGTGACCATTCCATATGAAGAAAGACCCTTTGGATGACTGACCGCCTAAGAGCAGAAGGACTTGGGGAAGGAGCTTATGTTTCAGAATGAAGAGCCCTAAAGTAAGTAGCAGCAGTTAAGAGTTACATGTAGATGTGAAGAATTCTAAAAGTGAAAGGAAAACTGCAAATTAAGGAACATGAAAGGAAAACAGAAAAGCAAACTTAACTTAGTTACATGCCAAAGGAGTTCTTTTTTTTTTTTTTTTTTTTTTAGTAACCCTTCCTCACCCACCATGATAAAAATAGTTGCTCCCAATTTGAGACACACCCATGTGACTGGCTCAGGGATGCTCCGGACTACTGTGTGAGCAGGACTGTAGGGGTCTGAGCACTTTACTTTCTGTGCTAAACTCGGCGAATAAACACTATCATTCTTTTCCTAAAAGTCAAAAGCTTTTTTTTAAAGCTTTTTAAATGAAAGTCCCTCTCCTAAATTAACTGTAGTTTGAAATTTGTCTGCATTCTGAGATCTTTTCCCATCTCCAGCTTAATTCAAATGAAAACGGTAACATCTCCAAACAGTAGCAGATAAAATACACTAAATCCAAACTATTGCCTTTTGACATTTCGCGTTCATTTGCACATACATGCCGTCAACTGCAGGGGGCGCTAATGCCCTGTTCCTCAGGCCTGGCAGAGAAGGTTGCGTAGCTGGGATTGTAATTTCTCCCTGTGCCTGTTAAGTGTGACTATTGATAAGTGCTGAGCTCATCCCTGCCCCTAGATTGAAGCCTCTAAAACATATATGAGGTGGAACTGGGCTTTACAACAAAGACAAATCTAGTTTCCACTTTTAAAATAGTCTCTCGGGGCTCCCAAAAGGTAGAGGATATATTTTAAAAGGAAAGAACGGTGTTTTGTATCAAAACATTATTTTTGGAGTCATAACCAATTAGGAATCTAATCCCTGCAACCATAAATACCCCCCTTTTCATAGAATACAGTCACCAGAGGCCACACTGGGGTATGAGGGACTTAATATGAAGAGAATTTTTATGGTTAATAAACGCCACAATCTCAGCCTCTTTTCTTCTAGATGTTGGAAGAGGACAATTAAATGAGTGTTTAGATCCCAAATAAAAAGTTAATATTCACGTTAAATAAAAATATAAGTGAATTTGTTTTATAGAATGTGAATTTGTTTCAGAATGGGTCCAAAACACTTCATTAAGCATTTCTGGATAAAAACATGTAACACTCTCTATAAGCTTTTGTTAATAAATTAAATACCATCTTTCTATAAATATACTTTGCATTAAGCTTTCCTGTTAGAGTTTTCAGGAAACATTTTAAATGAAGTAGCTGAGCATATCCCGTTTGAGATGAATGAGATCATTAGGAAACACTTATATCTGAAATAAGCACTGAGATCATTCTGCATACAACCCAAGGGCCCTAATTTTTTAAATATTTCAAACAATGTCCTCCTTTTAAATCATTAGACTTAGAGACATTTAAGGAACTGATTCAATTAACCCGGAAGAGAGAAATGCTATAATGTGTGATTTATTTTTGCAGATAAATTAAAATGCAAGTGTATCTGTTAGAAAAGGTGGGCTGTCAGCATGGTTACTAATGGGAACAGGAAGGCAATTAAGCAGGGCCACCTGAGGCTGAAATAGCCCCTGAACATGGAAGCTTGAAGTGCAAGCTGGAGATTGTTGTTGTCAAAACCAAAAGTGTTCCTGGGTTAGGAGGAACAGTTTCCTTCATTGATTTTCTAAAGCATGTTTCTCAATTTGTTCCTCCATAACTACAAACTAAAAATAAGCCCAGACTGCTATGGTTTCATACCTTAAAAAAAAAAAAATCTAACTTCACATAAAGCGGATGCCTTAAAATTACAACTTTGCATTCTATTATTTAGGTGAGGAAATATGAGGCAAGAATTTATTTTTCTCCTCTACAACCCCAGGATATTGGCTCCACCAGGCCTAATAAATTATTTTCACAAGGAAATAGAGCATGCTGTAGCTTGTGTTCCCTTGTGCAGGGGGTTTTATAAACAAGATGTATCCTAAACAATAAATAATCGCAGATGGGAGAGGGTGGGAGAAGGAAACATTATAAGGGTGGGGGAAAAAATGTTCCCTCACCAAATCATGGAAAAGAGTGAATTTCAAAATGCTAGAAATCTGAAGGGAAGATGGCCACTTTAACCATGGTGAAATCTATAGAGGAAATGAGAAAATAATAGAAAAGAGTAAAAGAAAGAGCAGCAAAGGAAAGACTAAGAATGTGAGAAGAGAGGTTCCAGCAGCCTTACGAGTAAGTAGCAGCAGAATAAGTCCTACGAACAGAAACGAAGAAAACGTACAATGAAGACGTCGTTAAAATTCAATGCTCTTTCCTGCTCAATCTTGTCCCCCATCTTGAATTGGACCAAAAAAAAAAAAATGCACTAGACCTTTTGGAGCTGTTTATGAGGAGAAGCTCAGAGATTCTCATTTCCTTGCTTGGAGAAGAGGGAATCTCTTTACTTGCTCTATGTCACTGTGTAACAGATGCTAATGATTCCATCACACGGCTCCTTCCCTGGGAGAAGATTTTCCAGCCATGGTGCTAGAACTGCAGTTAGCAAGCAAGAGGTGGGTCAAGCGGGGACAACTCTGTCTTATGCTTGGAGAAGAATACAGCTCAGTGGTTTCCAGTTTGTGAGAGCCTTTCCTGACAATATTCATTTATCAGTCTAATTTACACAGATTTCCTTTTTCTCCTGCTCAGAATTTTTTGATGGCTTCTCAGTGTCTCAAGAATTAAGGTCCTTACAACCTGAGTCAACTGCCTTGCCAGGCTCATCCTCTGCCCCTCCAGTTACATTAATGCCCCCCCCCTTGCATTTCTAGGCCTTTGCTCTTGTGGACTCTACTGCCTACTCTGTCCTCTCCTCCCCTGCGGACGCCTCACCTCTCCTTTTAAGGCCCAGCTCAAAGGCCAGCGATCCCAGAGAGCTGGCCTCTTCCTTAGTGGAGCCCCAGATCATTCGGTTGATGCTCTGTTGCAACTTTTCCCCACAGCCCCTCATAGTCAGCGATCTATCTCCCTGTGGGGAGAGGATTCCAGCTCGCTGATGGTAAGGGCTATCCACCTTGTTTGTAACCCAGCCTCCAGTACTGCGCCTTGCAAAACATGTTGGCAGAATTGTTCCTGGAGCGCCAGTGATTCTCCCTTGCTACTCTCTTCTCCCTCTCTCCCCAACTAACTCTGCGACTTTATTTTTTTTTAATCCCTCAATTATATCTCCAACTCTCCAAGGCTTTAAAAAAAAAAACAAAACACCCCTATCTCATGAACATAGACTGTTACTAGAACACAATTTTTGGCCACGGTGATCCTCTTGTGAATTGAGATCTTTCTATTGCCTAAAGCTGAGGTAATTCACTCAGGTAACCTTGGGTAGTTACTTTGGGTTCTGAGAGGCTGGAATTTGTTTCTACAGACCTAATACTAAAATGCAATATTTCTGTCTATTTCTACTGTTGGTTAGTATCCAGGCACTGAGTGTTAGGCATTTTTAATTAGGGAAGGTATCTGCGGCAAGATCTCTTCTGGCTGATCCTTAACATCCGAAGAAATGAGGTTTAAGGGCTCTGAATACGACATTAAAGATAAGAATCAGTAGGCCCCTGTCAATCTTACACTGGGAGAGAGGGGGAGACACGACCTATTAAGGTCTTTTTTTTTAAGATTTTATTTCTTTATTTGAGAGAGAGAGAATGAGAGAGAGACAGCACAAGAGGGAAGAGGGTCAGAGGGAGAAGCAGACTTGGTTAAGCGACTGCCTTCGGCTCACGTCATGGTCCTGGAGTCCCGGGATCGAGTCCCGCATCGGGCTCCCTGCTCAGCGGGGAGTCTGCTTCTCCCTCTATTAAGGTCTTTTTATCTGAAGCCCAGATTTGGCCCACCCAGCCCAAAGTCCATTCTGGGATGGGATCTCTGAGTCCTGGACATAAACGTATATGCTGACCTCTAGGATCCCACAAACTAGAAGAAGGCCTGTTGGAGCTACGTAAACACCTAAATTAGGGGGGTATAGATATGGAAACTCAACCCCAAAGGGGCAGCCATGTGAGGAGCCCCATGTCTGGCGGGATGACAGCTGTTGGCGTGAAAAACAACAGAAAAGCTAAGCAAGTATATCGTTGTGTTATTTGGGGGCGAGGAGTTAAGCGCTGGAACGGGGGATCCAAGAAGAAAGAGGGGCCAACGAAACATGCAACTCCCAAGAGCCTATAAGGACCAATACCCCACATCCTGGGGCGCAGCCGGTCCCAGCCAGCAGAGGGCAGCAGTTGGGCGGGAGAAGCCGGGCGAGGGCGGCCTTGCGGGCATACTTAATCTTGAGTGTGGGGCGAAGGACTCGCACTCATCACTACCGGTTCCGGACCCTGCGGCCGGGGGCGCACCTCGGGCTCGTTTGTGGGCAGTGGATGTGTGCGGGGCCGCCTGCCCGAGAAAGGAGAGCGGAGGGCGCCCCCTGGGTCTCCGGGGAAGAGGGGGAACGCGCTTTCGGCGGGCCCCGGAACGCGGGTGGGAGGGGCTCCAGACGCGCCCCACCAGTGGCCGAGCCCGCTCCTTGCCCCAAGAGCCGCCCTCCGCGCCCCGGAAGCTTCCTCCGCCGACACCGCGTTAGCCCCCGCTCGCTCGGCCTCTGGGGCCACGACCCGCGCGCGACATTCGCCAAGGTGCGCCCCCGGCCGCCGCCGCCCGTGCCGGAGCGAGGCCGGTCCCGCTCTCCGAGCCCCGCGCGGCCGCGGCGCGGGTTCCGGCTCTGGCCGTCGAGGCCTGCGGCGGCAGCGGGGTGGGCGTGGGTCTGTGCCGGCGGCCGGGTTCTCGCCGGCCGCACTTGACCGTGGGCGCCGAGCGAACGGGCCGCGCGGCGCGGGCGGCGGGCTTTATGCAAATCGGGGCTGCGCCCGGGCGTCCTAGGTAGGATGGACCAGCCCCCCGCGCCTCGGCCCTCACGTCCAATAAGAAAAGCCCCAGCTTGACACCTGCCTATATACAGGCGAGCGCGCCCCCGGCCCGCGGACCGCGCGCACAGCCCGCACAGCCCACGCCGCGGGCGAGCGAGACCTCGGCCCGCCACCATGACTTCCAGTAAGATCGAGATGCCCGGCGAGGTGAA